TTGAAAGCCAGGCCATGGAGGAATACGTCGAGGAAGCCCTGAGCTCAGGTTTCATCCGTCCTTCCACATCACCAGCCGCCGCAGGGTTTTTCTTCGTCGAAAAGAAGGATGGAGGATTAAGACCCTGCATTGATTACAGAGGACTCAACAACATAACAGTTAAATTTCGCTATCCACTACCATTAGTTCCATCCGCCCTCGAACAACTCCGTGAAGCCACCATCTACACCAAGCTTGACCTAAGAAGTGCGTACAATCTGATTAGGATCAAAGAGGGAGACGAATGGAAAACTGCCTTCCTCACCACTATGGGGCACTATGAATATCAGGTCATGCCTTATGGACTTGCTAACGCACCCGCTGTCTTCCAATCCTTCATTAATGAAATCTTCAGAGACCTGCTCAACCAGTACGTAGTAGCCTACATTGATGATATCTTGATTTACTCTAGATCTGAAGAGGAACACACGTCAGACGTCAGAACTGTTCTCACTAGATTATTGGAGAACCAACTCTATGTCAAGGCTGAAAAATCCATGTAAGATGTAAGACAGACGACATTCCTGGGCTACCATATTAGTCACGAGGGAGTAAGGATAGACGAGACGAAAGTAAAGGCAGTCACTGAATGGCCACAACCAACCACGGTAAAGGAACTTCAGCGATTCTTGGGCTTCGCTAATTTCTATAGACGTTTCATTCGAAATTACAGCATGGTCTCCTCCCCTTTGACATCTCTCCTGAGGGGCAAGCCCTCAAAACTAAGATGGACGGAAGAGGCTGACAATGCTTTTCATACCCTGAAGGAAAGATTCACCACAGCGCCCATCTTGAAACATCCTGACCCCAATCTCCCATTAGTGGTCGAGGTAGATGCCTCAGATTGTGGAATCGGAGCTGTCTTCTATGACCAGAGACGTTACCACATATGTGAAGTCATGTCAAGTCTGTGCCAGTTAAAAACCCCTAAGGAACTACCATCTGGCCTACTCAAATCACTGCCAATACCACAACGTCCTTGGTCCCATCTCTCCATTACATACACTACCGTTCAAAAGTTTGGGATCAGTAAGACTTGTAATGCTTTTTAAAGGCTGCATTTATTTGATAAAAAATACAGAAAAAAACAGTAATCTTTCAAAATGTTATTTCAATATAAAATAATGGTTTCTAATTTAATCCCAATTCACTTCCCAAGTCTGGAAAGCTTTCTGCCAGCATCTGGATATCAACATTAGCCTAACTTCAGGTTATCACCCTCAATCGAACGGCCAGGTTGAACGTTTAAACCAGGAGATCGGCCGATACTTACGGACTTACTGCAGTCAAGAGCAACATTGTTGGTCGGAGTTCCTACCCTGGGCAGAATATGCCCAAAACTCACTCAATCACACATCCACAGGCCTAACCCCCTTCCAGTGCGTCCTTGGGTTTCAACCTCCCTTGTTCCCGTGGTCCGGGGAACCCTCCTCAGTCCCGGCGGTGGACGAATGGATTCGTCGTAGTGAGAGGGTGTGGGACGGTGCACATGTCTGCCTCCAGCGAGCCGTGAGAAGACAAGAATTGCAGGCCAACAGGCGACGTCGCCCACATCCTCCCTACCAACCAGGACAGCGGGTGTGGCTCTCAACGAGGGACCTCAAGCTGCGGCTGCCCAGCAGGAAGCTCAGTCCACGGTATGTTGGCCCTTTTAAGATTCTCAGAAGAATAAATGAAGTCACTTACCAACTAGAGCTTCCTGCTAATTATCGTATTTCTCCCTCCTTTCATGTTTCTCTCCTCAAACCGGTCCACCTGGATGCTGACCCCGGAGCCGAGGTCCGAGAGCCACCACCACCTTTGGACATTGACGGGACTCCCGCTTATAAGGTGAATGTGTTGCTGGACTCGCGTAGGAGAGGGGGTCAGCTCCAGTATCTGGTGGACTGGGAGGGCTATGGGCCTGAAGAGAGGTCATGGGTGGCTACCCATGACATTCTGGATCCATCTCTCATCGAGGAATTTCATCGAGGAACAGCATTTATTCAAAATATAAATATTTTCTAACAATATAAATCTTTGCTATCTCTTCTTATCAATTTAACACGTTCTTGCTGAAAAATTATCTTTCAAAAAATAAAATAATAAAAATGTACTGATCCCAAACTTTTGAAAGGTAGTGTATATTGTTAGAAAAGATTTCTATTTTAAATAAATGCTCTTCTTTTTATCTTTTTATTCATAAAAGAATCCTGAAAAAAAGTATCACAGGTACCAAAAAAATATGAAGCAGCACAACAG